CTCTAGTGACTTTATCGATAAACCGTTGAAAGGTTGAGGAAGCATTACAAAGATCAAACTGCAATCTCAAACTTTCAAACAAACCAAAAGGAGTACATATAGCTGTTTTATGTACATCATCCAGATTTATGGGAATTTGGTGATATGCTTTTACGAGATCAATGTGTTGCACTATCCTTGAATTTCCAATGATACCAGTATAAATTTTTGTCATGTGATATGAAACGTTTGTGGTCAGCAAAATTGGTACGATATGAACTCCTGGAACAATGAAGTTCAGACACTTCTTTTCAAAGAGCTTTGATTTCTTCATGAGGTTGAGCTGAAGGAGATTCATTGTTAGAAACAATGGCAGATATATTGGTGTTGTTGATAGCTAAACTTCGATCAGCTACCTCTGCAGCTTTATCCAAAGTAATAAGAGGGATGGAAGCTAAAATAGTTTGAACAGGAGCAGGCATCGCTTGATTAAAGAGTTCAAATAAAAGTGAATCATCTATGTTGTGATTCTCTGTGGGACATTTCATTATGCGGAGAAGTTCGTTAGGTTTTCTATCCCCGAGGCTTTCGCCTGCTAGCAGCCGACGAATCTCTTGAGTCTTGGATTTCGAACATCTTTCTATAACTTTTGATTTCAGATCATCATATGGGTTGACTGAATGATGACATCATGAATAACAGTTGCAATATAAGCTGGTAAGTGAGCTACTACGTAGTTGAATTTTGTCTTTTGCTCCGTTATCGGTTTAAGAGCAGCTAGTTCAAAAGTAGATTCCAACATGTGAAACCAAAGAAATGGGTCAACTTGAATAAAAGGGGGAATCACCACAGCAAAAGTTTCAGTTTTGGCCATTTTTCAGGTGGAACATGCACCAGCGGGAAGAATCAAAACCAGAAGTATCCGTCTGTAAAGGATTTTTCATCCGAATGTCACCATTGAAGGGTGGTTGCTATTGAAGGTGGTATATTAGTTGATCTGACTCCATAATTGAATGAAACAGCAGTCATTATAAAAATATATTTTATTATACACACAGGAATGAGACTCGTACCGGGAGTATTACGTAACGATCTTTACACTCCAACGGCGCCGACCCAAAAGAGGCTGTGAGGCGAGACAGAACTTGTGATGTAACAGAACAGATGTTGTTGCGCCTCTTGCTGATTGGCTACAACAGCATTAAATTTTCATGTACATTGGTAAACAGAATACGCTATAATCATCAATAACCACCACTCTTTCACAAGGCATAGATTGGAAAATACATTTAATTGCCATTCTGGGGTATTGCATTCCAGTCAACTGTAATTCAGTGCTAAAGTTCATCTTTTATAGCCATTGGTGGTCTTTGTCATGCCTCTCTATCAAACAGTGTAGACCAGATGTATACACTCAGGGAAAGGTAAGATGATTGCAGTGGTCAAGGCGTAGCATAATGTTGTCTATAGACTGCTAGAAATTGGCATAGCATAATGTTGTCTATTGTCTAAAAACCTGCTATGTATCTAATAAGTGTCAGACATTGAATGAAAAGTGCATGAAATGCTAATCATGCACTGCACGAGTTGAAGGTGGCTCTTGGAGGCTTTTGAAGATATAAGCTACTATAGACCTTAACTCATTTATGAGGTAATCTGGCTGGTCAGAATGTCAGATGTGCATACCGGATGTAAATGGAGCTGTATCCAATAAGATTTTGCATTGTAACTTAGGTGCTTAGCCAGTATGATGATGCATGTAGCAAGATCCTAACATGCTTCCAGTAGGGAAGACATATGTGCTCGCTTCATCGTGATTTTGCATGATTAAGCAATTCTTTCTTCCTAAATATATGTGATATTTGTCAATCATAAATTTGTAATGTAAGTTGCATTTGTTTGCACCTACTACGATGCTTACCTGGAATGTGAGCTGAGCTTGTTGATGGCCAACAAAAATATAATCCACATGTGCCCATTGTCATTCGCACAAGATATCTGATATCTTGAACATTAATACGTGAAAAGCCTACATGTTACTTTTCTTATACTTCCTGGGCCCATCAGTTCCATGTCTGCATGATAATGGACAGATTTTGAACAGTACAAGAGCAGCTGGACAATACAATAATCTGCAATCATGGTATTATTATTCTCTGTTCATTTAATCTGGTTGTTTGCTGTACATGTAGTCTTCTTGAGGCACAATTTACACTCAGTGAGGAAACATTATTGTATAGGAAACTCCCCCTCTTCTTTTTTACATTACCTATTTGCATGTGTGCTATATCAATAACTATTTTCATGTCCTGCATACTATATCTCCTTATACAGATTTTACAATGATAAGCTGCTTTTTCATGATTCTGCTTTTTTAATGGCTAGCAGATATGTTAGTTATGCTTTCATAAATTTCCCTTGTACCAATTGATATCACTGACCTTTTATTCCTAATATTTGTATAACATTGATTTTTTTAATATTTTAAGAGACGAGTAAAATTTCTCTCTAGCCCCATCTGTGGTAATACTTGCCATTTTGTTCCAGGATAAGCCAATTCACAGCTCAAGGAAGTCCTGGTTTGTGGTTTTATCTTTCATAGATTCTAGGCTAAGTAACTCTATGATGAAAAAAATTTCATTAATTCCATTGTTAAAGATGAGTAATTGTGCAGGGTCTTTATTAATTATGCTCTCAAACAGTGCCAAACAAAATCTTTGGTTACAATCTTCAGCTGTTCTGCGAGTTCTTCATTAATTGAGTCAATGCACTAACCGTCACAACTCCGAATTCCGTTTAATCTTTCAATCTGAAGCTGCCCTTGTAGTACTAGCAGGGGTAGTCTGATGACCAGTCAGTGCTCCAGGCTTAAAGTGCCACACCTCGTTGTTTATCACCACGAGGTGCGGCACTTTAAGCCTGGAGTTTGCTGGGTGTGGTGACCCTGGTTGACCTGTTCAGCCATGAGTAACGAGAGCACGTTTTGATCTATCACCCATGTGTGTGGGACAAGGTGACAGTCTATTGATATCTCTAAGCTCTCGATGGACTATTTTTCTGCCTGACAGACCCACCTCCCGCCTAATACAAAGGCCTTAAGTTGGGGTCGATCTTGGTTGTGTGTCTAGCTTAGATTGCGGTACCAGCTTCTAACAAACTAGTGTTAAAACACTCAGAAATGAACTATGTAGATTATGATGGGCCATCAGACTACTCAGTGTTTCTGTGAAAAAAGAGCAAAACTTTAACTATGTATTCAATGCTGTGATATAGGAATAAAAAGTTCAAGATAATAAGAGTTTCAAAGAAAATACTCCGAGCTAGCTGCTGGGAAATACATTCATTGATTTAACAGTAATAAAAGAAAACATTTGTAATATAAAAAGTGTATATTCAATATATATTATTAATTATATGTAATTTATGTTGCCATTATGATTATTTCTAATTTATCTAAACATATTTGTTGTAATAAATTTATATGAAAATTGCATTATTTTTTAATAAATTCTCTTGAAATAGTATATTAAAATACCAGTTAGAATTTAAAATTGCTTTTTCTTATTTTATTTATAAATTTTGTATTTCTGTTGAACTGTTATTTTATGCAATGAGCTTCATTTATTTTTTTAATCTATAGTTTCAGATTCTTAATTAATGAATTATCATATGGTAATGTATACATATCTTATTGTTAAAAAATATTTGTAGTTTATAAGAATTTTAAATTAAAAATTTTAAGGATGTTGTGTAAAATCTTGAATTTTGTATTTTAAAAATATTCAGCTGCATGAATTAAATTTTACGAGATTTTTATAAATCGCTTTCTCTGTGTAACAATTAACTGTAGTTATTGGAAGTACCTTTTTATTTTGAAAAAATCTCAAATGAATCATCTCAGTCAAGAATAAGAGTTGACTAAGAATGTTACTAATTCAAAAAAGCATAGTATTGAAATTGTACCCTCTGAAAGGCCACGAAATGTCTTGTATACAGGCATTTTATTTCAATGCCAAAAGAATTATAAACTTTAAAAGGAAGCTAGCTGTCATCAACTAAACCATAATACTGATTAACAAGATTCGTATCTGTCAGTTTATTTTTTTTTCCGTAATGTGATATATTATTTCTAAAAAAAATAGTAGCTAATAAAATTTATTCAAAGGGAGGATGGATGGTATTAAGATTAAAAAATTGTATTCTGTCTTGAACTGACTGCATGTTAAAGTCTTACCTTTATGATATGTATCATCTTATGGTCCACATTAAAGTTTACTTAACTTCATCTTTTTTTCATCAAAAGTTTTGAGCCAAGAAAAGTTTTACTATAGCTTAATCATAGTCACGTAATCCTTATCCTTAATCAGTAATGTTGCCCCCAATGTAATGATAGAATTTATCGTATGATCTCTCCCCAAAAGATCTTTTGTTTCAAAAACTGTACTGGATTGTGGAATGCATTTTGTTTGAGAGGAATAACTAATGGATTTATGCTGATGGTGCTGTTAAAATGTACTACACTCATTTAAAATTTATCATTTTTTAAGAATTCAGTGTAATGCATAAATTAGATTGTTCAACTATACCAACAGTTAGCCAAAAAGCAAAACAAAACAAAAAATTTGTTTTTTCAGAAAAATTTAATTAACTGAGTTGGTAAACTTTTGAGCATGGGCCAACTGGTCTGTGCTTGAGATTGTATTTCTGTGGACCATAGCAAGGGTAATAAAACTTATTATTATAGATTATGGACTTTTTATACATTTATCTTCTTTCTTTTGATTATCTTAGGAGATAATTTATTTCCTGAAAATAATAGCACTACCAGTAGAAATGGAATTTGAATGAATTTTTGTTGAGCTCAATTTTCTATATACCTTATTAATTATGTCCGTAGTCATAAATTGATGAATAGGATAAATATGTTAAATTAAATAGAAAATGTATTTTTATTCTGAGTGATTGTACTGAATGATTTACTATATAATTATCAATTGTTGAAAATTACTTTTTTTTAATAGGTCGTATGCTCTTTGATCATTATTTTGCCAATCCTCGTCAAGTTATAGCAACAATTCTTGCAGTTATAAGGAATAGAATTCAAATTCCTGCACCTGCAGCAAGGGAAGAGACTTCTCCAAGTGTCTTCAATGGAACATTTCGTCCATTAAGAGCTGAATTTGCTGCTGTTCAAGATCCTGACCCAGAGGAGAATCTTGGACCTGTTGAGTCACCTTTTCCTTCACTTAGTTTTCAAAGAAATCTCACATATACGAATGCACAGCGTTATTTTGTGTGGAATGATGTAGCTGATCCTTTTACTTTATATCCCTCTACACCATTCGATCCATTACTGCCATCAGAGTCAAAATTTGTTGGTAATTTATTTATTTATTTATAATAATTTTTTCATGAGTAAATTTAAGTTCAGATTTTAGGTTTGATTAATAATAAACATTTATGTTCAAACTTTTAAGTTATTTTTGGTATATATTTCAAGTAAGTGATGTGTTGTATTTTATATATGTTGGGTACGTGCTCAGTGATGATTACAAGATGTACACAAACATCGTTTATTCTACATTGCTCATCTACTATACTATATTACAGTTATAGTTACAGATAATAATAGATACAGTTACAGTTACATATATAACATCTCCCTTTTTTATAAAAAATAATAATAGTAGTAAAATTAAACATATTCTTTTAAATAATAAGGTTTCTTAACAGTCCTACCAGATCGAGTGACGTAGTTATGTCCATTTGAAAAATTTGATGATACTATACCTCTTTCACTATTTGGTGACACAACACTTCTGTTAGGTTTTGAAGGACTTACAGGCACATTTAAATTTGTAGTGCTCCTACTCCTACTATTTTCATGTATCTTGGGTTCATCTATAACTTCATTCTCATAGTTGTTTTGTATTGCAAACTCTTCCTGATTAGTTCCTTTAAGAAGGTCTCTTCTGTTCCTTTCTACAATTCTTCCATCTGTTCTTATAATCCTATATGAATGTGGTCTTTCTACTTCTTCTATAATTTTCCCTTTTTCATTTAGTTTTTTTTTTTTTCTTTTCTCTTTATGTACACATGATCTCCTGTTTTCAGTGGGTTTAATGGTCTTGCATTCCTATCATAATAACTTTTTTGTAAGGTTTTGTCTCTTCAGTAAATGTTGTTTATGGTCTTCATCATATCGTTTAGCTTGGACAAAATTCTCTTTTATAGGCATCAGTCCATATACTTTTCTTCCAAACATCAATTCTGAAGGTGACTTAATTTCATCTGAAATAGGAGAGTTACGATATTCCAGTAAAACTAAATATGGATCCTTGTTGTCACTCAACTACAGCTTTTTCTAACATTCGCTTGACAGTTTGAATATGTCTTTCAACCATTCCATTAGACTGTGGGTATTTTGGACTTGAAGTTCTGGTTTCAAATTCCATCTTCTTGCAAAATCTTTATATTTCCTGCAATTATATTGTGGACCATTATCCGAATATACTATTTTCGAAATGCCATGTCTTGCAAAAATTGATTTCAATTGCTTTATCACTGCTACACTTGACAAATCTTCCAAATGTCCATTTCAACATATTTGCTAAAATAATCTATTACTATTAGATAATCCCTTCCTTGAAAGTAAAAGAGGTCTGTTTCCCAATACTTCCCATGGACCATTAGGTATTTCTTTAGATATCATTGGTTCTTTAGTATTAGCTTTTTGTAAACTTAAACATGTTTGACAATTCAGTACCAAATCTTCAATTTCTTTGGACATTCCTGGCCAATATAATATTTCTCTTGCTTTGATCTTGCATTTTACTACTCCTAAATGACCATAATGAATTCTGCTTAACATATCTTTTCGTAAACTTCTTGGTACAACAACACAGGAATTTTTAAATATTAATCCATTTGCTTGCTTCTGATAGTTCTTCTCTGAAGTTAAAATATGGGTTTTGCCAGTTCTGGAACCATACATTTTTCATCTGGCCATCCAGTTTTAATTAATTTTTCTTAAACTTGTAGTTCTTTATCTTTTTCTGTTTCCAGTTGAAAACTTCCATTTTACCATTAGACATTGGTATACATTCTACAACTAATCCAACATGAGCTTCTATTTCTCCTTCAAAGAATCAGATCCTTTATCAGTGAATGATCTTGATCCGCTATAAAAAGTTCTTTTCCTGGTTTATATTTTATCTCAAACTGATATGGCTGTAATCTTATACGCATTCTTTGTAGTCTTACAGGGCATTTATTTAATGGCTTTTTAAAAAATGATTCCAGTGGTTTATGATCACTTTCCACAGTAATATTTTTTCAAAATATATACTAGTGAAATTTCTCACATGCAAATACAATAGCTAAAGTTTCCTTTTCAATTTGAGCATAATTCTTCTGTGTATCTGTTAATGCCTTAGATGCATATGCCACTGGTAAATTATTCTGCAGTAAGACTGCTCCTAGTCCTTCTTGAGATGTATCTACAGATAAAACTACTGGCATGTTTATATCATAATACTGTAAAATTGGTTTATTTACCAAGACATCTTTTAGTCTTCTAAATGCTTTTTCATGTGTTGCATTCCAGTTCCAGATAACTTGTTTTTTCAACAAATCTCTTAAACATGATGTCAATTCTGATACATTAGGTATAAATCTAGAAACATATGTAATCATTCCTATTAAAGTTTCTAATTCTTTCACATTTTTTGGTGGTTTTATATCTAGAATAGCCTTAATTTTGTCTTCATCTGGTTTTAAACCATCTTTAGAAAATATATGTCCCATATATTTTCACTTCATTCTGCCCAAATTTACATTTATTTAAATTAAATTTAACATTTTTTTTCTCTGGCTCTGTCCAACAACTTCTTTAATCTTGAATCATGTTCTTTTTATCTTTACCCCAAACTAAAGTCATCTATATATATTTGAACTCCTTCTAAATCACTAAAAATTTCAGAAAAACTTCTGTGGAAAACTTCTGGTGATGAACTCAGTCCATATGGCAACCTCAAAAAAAACAATATCTACCAACGGAGTGTTAAATGTAGTAAATTCACAACTTGAATCTGACAGTTTAATTTGCCAAAATGCTTTGTTTGCATCTAAAATACTAAAGACCTTTGCATTTGTCATTTGAGATGAAATTTCTTCAAAGGTTGGTATGTGATAATGTTTCTCTCAGTATATTTTGGTTAAGGTGCTGAGGATCTAAAACACACTCTTAAATTTTCCATCCTTTTTCCTTAGTACCACTAATGAATTCACGAATTCTGTTTGGTTGGTTAACTTTCTTTATAATACCATCTTTTTTTTTTCCATTCTTGCTAATTCCTTTTTTAATGGATTTAATAAGCTAAGTGGAATTTTCCTACAGGGTTCTATTTTACCAACAGCTCCTGGTTTTAATTTAATATGATATGTATATCCAGTTAAATTCCCAGTTCCTTTAAACAAATCTTGATATCCTTTTAAAAGTTCTGGTAACTTTTCATTAGAATCAGGATTTACTGTACAAATCCTTTGTATTAGGTTTTTTTGCAATGTAGGTAAACCTAAAATAGCTGGGAACAGTTTTATCACATGCTATGACTTGAAATTCTATTTCATCCTTGTCCCCTTTCGATGTTTCACATAATAATTTACATTTTCCAACTACATCAATTGTAGTACCATTGTAATTATTTAAAGTGACTTTTGATTTAGTCAAACATTTCTCTCTTAAATTTAATTGTTTAAATTTAGGCAATGGTAGCACATTACACTGAGCTCCAGTATCCAACTTAACAAATAAATATTTAGATATGTTTTACTTTTAGTTTTTCAAACCATTCGGTTTTTATTTTTAGAAAATGGATTTGTATCTTCTTCTACTTACCCTAAAATATATTCTTTACCATTATTATGTAACTCATGCTCTAAATTATTCTGTACAACATTAACATTTTTATAAGTGCACATTTTAGAAAAGTGATTTTTCTTTTACAGTACAAGCAAATCTTATTATAAGCAGGACAGTTGTATAACTTATGAAAAGTTCCACATTTTCTACATGGTTTTGGATTATTGTACTTATTTCCTTGATAGTTTGAAGAAGATTTAGTACTTTGTTGCTTTTGTTTTACATGATAGTCTTTCTTACAAGGCTGACTTTTTCCTCTTTTCCTCTGAAGGTCGAAATTTATTACGTTTGATAGCTTCTTTATTTTTATTTTCTTTTCTTCAGTTAAAGTTTCAGCTGAAGTTCTGCTAATTCAGAAGCTTTACACATTTTAAAATACATTTCTCCAATGTTAACTGATCTTCCCTTAATAATCTATCTTTGAGATTTTTATTTAGAATTCCACTTACTATTCTATCCTTATTAAACTATCTTTTAATTCTGCAAATCCACAGTTGCTACTTAATTTCTTTAAATCGGTTAAGAAATCATCAAACGATTCACCTACATGTTGTGTTCGACAGAAAAATATATGTCTATCAACACTTTCGTTTGCTTTCGGTATGCAAAAATTTTCGAAAGCTTCAATTACTTTGTCAACATCCTTCTTATCTTCTTCACTTAAATTAAAAGTATTAAATTTTTCAAGTGCTTCTTCACCAATTATATGCAATAAAATAGCTACTTTAATTTCAGGTGATTTAGTAATACCACCAGACGCTAACATATAAATTTGGAATTTTTGTTTCCATTTCTTCCAATTTTTCCATTTCTTCCAATTAAATTTCCTTCGAAACTTAGATTACTTGGTGGCTTTAATCCATCCATATTTAATTTAGGACTTTAAATAGTTTATATATACGTATTTTTAGCCACTTCCAATAAAAATAAACAACTCACTTACCAGCATATAAGTTTTGATTTCACAGTAAACAACTTCCCATGATGTTTTTGTTTAGAACATCTTTACCCAGGCTGCATGGTTCTTCAAAAAAGATTTTCTTTTTTAATCAACCACGAGCTGGGCCATGTGTTGTATTTTATATAAGTTGGGTACCTGCTCAGTGATGATTACAAGATGTACACAAACATCGTTTATTCTACATTGCTCATCTACTATACTATATTACAGTTATAGTTACAGATAATAATAGATACAGTTACAGTTACATATATAACTATTGATATCTGAATAAATCAAAATGTAATTTATGTTATCATTATTATATTAAATCAAAATGCTTTTTCTTTGATATTTGTTAAGATTTCACTTTGTAAAATTCTTACTATAGCAGTTTTTATTATTTTAACTGAATTTAGATGCATTTAATTTCAAATGTTTATTACACATTTATGTATCTGTTATCTATATGTTATCTACGTAGTCAAACCTTGGTCAATGGATGACTGACTTTCATAGACACTTGCTTAATGGACAGTTCATTATTCCCCAAACTCTTGACCCTTGAAATAGAACATCAATGTATTTCATTTATTGATAACAGATATTTCTGATATTAAACAGGGGAAAACTATTGACTAATTTCCTTCTAGTTTTTTTTTTTTTTTTTTTTTTTTTTTTTTTAATTTAAGAGGAAATGTAGAATTCAGGAAGGAATTACAAGAAATTTGAAACATCTAGTTGATTTTAAAATGAGGGTAATAATAAGATGATTGATCCTCAAAAGAATCCCTAGATTCTAGAAATAGGAAATTAGTTTGTTTCAGCCTTCAATAACTGATATTTCCTCCAAACAGCAGATGGGAAATACTTATTGATAAAAGTTTCTTATAAACTGTCCATGACGAAAGTAAGAAAAAATAAACCATAGAAGATACGTCTCTCTTATGATGCATTTATTCTAAAATGAGGTATGGGATTTAGGAAAATAGAATATTAAGAATTTTAAGAAATCTGAAGGAATAAAGAGGTTGCAAAATGAGAATTATGTCAATAACAGCAGCACCTTTAGTTATTACCCCTAAAAGGATGATGTTAATAATGGGAGGATAATTTCCCAAATATGAATCCACTATATTTTCTCCAGATTCCATTAAAGGAATGATGACATAATTATATGACAGCGTATTATATACCTGGTGGCCATAATTAAACTGACAGTGCTCACAGTGTTCTGTAGCGCGATCTATTTGTGAGAATGATGCCACATTTTGTAGGAAGATTAAACAAGACGGGGGACAAAGGATTCCATGAAAAAACAAATTAGTTCCAAAAGTCATCGATAGGGGAATATTTGGCACTGTGTAATAGAAAATAGAGTGTTAACAAATGCAAATCAATACGGAAATTACCTTTTATTATGCACATTTTCTGATTTAGTTCAAGTGCAATATGGCAACACTTTTAAAAAAGAGATTTTAAAAAGCGATAAAAGACAATGCCTGGGGGAAATCATTTTCATGCAAGATGGAGCCCCTTCACATGTTGCTGTATGGGTGCAACAGATGCTATGACAGAAATTCACAACAGAAAGAGTCTTTAGCCGCTACTTTCCAACTGCATGGCCACCTCGGTCGCCTGATCTTACTGTATGCCTGACTGTACGGGAGATTCCTGCAGACATGTTACTTTCTGCTATTGTGCATACTAAGCACAGAATGCAATATGTGGTCCACAACAACGGCAGCCACATTGAACCTCATTTGAATGCAAAATAAAAGGTAATTTCCATATTGATTTGCATTTGTTAACACTCTATTTTCTATTACACAGTGCCAAATATTCCCCTAGCGGTGACTTTTGGAACTAATTTGTTTTTTTGCAGAATCCTTCGTCTCCCGTCTTGTTTAATCTTCCTACAAAATGTGGCATCATTCTTGCAAATAGATCGCGCTACAGAACACTGTGAGCACTATCAGTTTAATTATGGCCACCCGTTATTATAATGATGACAGCATTGCAAGAGCTGATTTTTGCATATATCCACTAATTTTGGACAATTCATGTTGAGGGTCCAGTCTGTCTTCAAAAAAGAAATATACCATAGATTATGGAACATATAGTCATTCTCTTTTACTGGATTTTTTTTATTATCCATGTTGAAAATTGTGATCTAAATCCTATGATTTATAACTTGTTTGTTTGCCGTGACTCTAAATGTGAAAGATAAATGTTTTTTTAAAATATTGTTATCGGTACTATCGAAAGCCAGTTTACAGAAACTTCTTAAATGTTTTAAATTAGAAAGATACACACTTGAAAATTACTCAAAGTAAGTAAGTAAATAAAATAGCAAGGAAAAAGATAAAATAGCAAAATTGATAAACAACTCTGATTCACTTCTCTTTCTTTACGCCTGCACATGCAAGGAGTATTCCTCTAACTGAACCTTTGTTGGAACAAAAGGTTAGATGAAGTAGCTGAATCATTGAAAAAAATTGACTCCAGAATTTTGAATGATTGAATCAAAAATTTCAGGCTAGGCCATTATTTTTCATTTTAATGAACTTGCAGCAAAGCTAGATAAATTCTCAGTTGGTAACAGAAGAGATTAAAAAATTTCAAAGCATATGAATATGTGAATTTCTGTCCAGAAGATATTTAGAATTTGGAAGAACTTGCCTCCTGTTAGAATATGAAAGTAAAAAACGAAAAAGGACATCAGAAGTAAAGCTTCAAAAAAGTAATTGACAGCAATATTATGTTGTAAATCTCATAAAAAATTAATCTTCCAGCACGCGCGTATGTGTAAAATTAATGACAAATTCCATTTTTAATTCACATTTTTCGCATATCGAAGCTTTCTCCTTTCTACCCTCACATTATGGAATTCACATTATTTCTGTTCCTCCTTTCTACCCTCACATTATGGAATGGGCCAACAGGAAGTCATTTGACTTTTTTTTTTTTAACTGGGCTTTTGTGCTATGTGGCAGCTTTTTCGTAAAAGTTACGACACGTGCGTGGTCATGTTTTAAAATTCGGAAAATATTTTTTTCTCAAATGTTTTGCCATTTTGTGTTATTAATTGCCATGTATTATTTTAATTTGAATACTTTTGGCTCTGTAAATTTTATATCAGTTTTCATGGCAAAAAAATATGTGCAACCAGCTGATTTTTGCTCGGATTCTCAAGAATTATCTGATGAAGAAAAGGAAGCAAGAAACTTTGGATGGGAGAACAATAGCGATTCCATTCCTTATTTTCTTTTATTTCTATCTTTTAGAAATAATAAAAACATCAAAGTTAGTTTAAAGTGCATTTTGTAACCGGTAAGAAGTAATTTCCTTGCAGAAGTAAGTAATGCTAAACTTACCCTTTTTTGCTACCAAGGTGTTTTCCTTTTTTATTGTCTATACTTGTCTTTGATGCACTTCTTAAAATTAGCTCCTATTTTAAAGTGTAATTATTAAATAATAATTTAAAATTTTCTATAATGAAATACATCGTTGCATTTCCATCTCACTCACATTAGAACTTAAAAATAATTTAGTTATATTTGAATGTGATATCATTTGTATTTTGCAATAATAAGATTAATATTTTATTTCTTAACAAATTTATTATCAATATTCACTCATTTCTGTCATTTTTCGTGCCCAAAATGGTAACATAACAGATGTCAAAAGTATGACGTGCGCCTGCTCTTGTAAAATTGCCAAGCACACGTGCTGTAAGGTTAAAGAAACTGAATATGCAATGGGAAGCTAATAAATCCAGAATGATGTTTGATTAAATTTGACATTTAATGTACAATAAATTGTGTTTTAACAAACTGACTTACTGTAACAGAATGATAATGGAGGCTTACTGTGGCAGAATGATAATTTTTTTGTCTTCCTTTATAATATATATACTGGAATGGTTCCTTAACTAATTCTGGATATATAAAAGGAAGGATTTTCTTATGGAAGAGGAATTGTAATTAATTTATGTATATCCTCCTCCTGGCGGCGTCACGCCAAAGTTAATGGAGTTCCTCTTCTTTCATGTTCTTTTTTTCATTATTTATTTTTGGTTTTTCTTGTAATGGTTTATTTTAGTTTTTCTTTTAATTTTTTTAGAATTCTAATTCTACATTTATAGTTTTTTTTTTTTTTTTTTTTTAATTTATTTATGTATGTGAATTTCAGTTTTCGGCTTTGGAAAAAATTGGTTCTAAATTTCTTTTTTATGTATTTACTGATCAATTTTTGGCGGCATAACACACGAAAATTCTTGAAATGATTTTATATTTTTCGTTATAAAAATTGTTTTGTGTTTATATGTATATATATATATTTCAGGGTCTAGTTTTGGTTTTCGACCTATAGGCCAAGGAACTGGTGGAGCTGGTAAAGAATTCAGTGAAGCTCTGGGAGGTAATTCTCCTAGAGAACAATTCACGAGTAAGTTTTACCATTCCCAGAGTTAAATAAAGATTAAAATTCGTTTATGGGAACATTATTACTGTTTTTTAATGATCTAGGACTTCTTTTTTTCACTGAAATATCCATATACAGTTGAATTTTGATATGTGAGAGTACTAGTACTGTGATTAATTCTTGAAAGAATCTCTATATCCTAGAAATAAGGAATTATATGTTTATATAGGTTAGGGAAGTTAGTAGATGATGGATCATGTTTTTCTGAATTTTGCTATTACATAAATCTTTCCCTTTTTAATTTTTAAATCAAATCTGCATTGTTTTATGTATAAATTACCAACTAAAACACATTCACAGATTTAAAAAAGTTTGCTTGAACTATTAGTTTTCCCTTTTTTGTATATTCATTGTTTTTCATTGGTAAATACACCTTTTTAGAAATGAGTCCACTTGCAAGCTAAAATTTTAATTACAAATAAAAAGTGATCTTCTGAATAAAGGATAGCGGAAGGTATGAGAAGCCCCTTTTTTTTAAACACTTAAGCCCGTTCACAAGAGCGGATTCAACCGGCGGGGAAACCGGTTCTTCCAATGTGTCCCATTCACATGGCGAACAAGCATTAACTGCTTCTCCGAATTGGAGGTAGAATTTGCTAGAATGCTTCCTACCTCTCAGAAGTAAGGCAAATGGGGAGATTTGCCATACTGCACTGTGCGGTTCACTTTATTTTAGTTACTGCTTGCTGGACTGTCAGCGAAACAATTGCGTTGATAGATATCAGGGGATGTGAAAGCATCTCCCCCAAAAAATTAGAGGGAACGGTACAAGATACGGAAATTTATAAACAAATACAGACAAGGTTATCTGATGTATTTCAGAAATATCATTCAAATTAAAACTAAAGTTAAGACAAGTGCATATATATCAATGTGACAAGGGACTTGGTATCTTTTGAATTTTTTTTTTTTATTATTATTTAAGAACTTTCATTGACTTTTTATGAATATTGATTAAATAGTTTTTGTAAGACAAAATCATTTTAAGTTGAAAAAAATATTTTGCTAGTAATTTTTTTTATTTTATTTTTTGAAGAAAAATTTAATAATTAAAATGTCTATTAAATAATGTATTTTAAGAGAAAACTAACTCAGAAATATCTCCGATCTTATGCTGAACTAACAACTGCAGCAATAAAAACTTGTATAGTATAAATAATGTCATAAAAGTAGTGTAGTATAATCAGATTATTACTTTGAAACTGATGTTTCGAATTGATGTCCATGAAGAACCAATATTTCACATTCTGCTTCATTGCATATCTTTCAAAAAAGTAAAAATTATCCAATTAATTTTCTTTATCATTTTTTTAATGCGAAAAGTTTGTTTTATAAGCTGTGAAAATGTTGGAAGTTTTTAACTGATATATTGTTAGGTATGAAATTTTAAAATTAATGGGCATCAAAAAGTGTAAAAGTATGTGCATTTTTTCAAAAATTCTTCTAAAATTTAAAAAAAAAAAAAAAAAACTTATGCTAGAAATTTCAATTTCTTTTTTTTTTTTTTTTTTTTTTTTTTTTTTTTTTTTTTTTTTTTTTTTTTCTGCTGTGTCTTATGGTGAAACAATATTCTGAGATTCTCAGTTTATTTGTTAATATTTGCAATAAATCGTTTTCAACTTTAAATTTGAAAAAATTCTCATCCTCTAAAAATCAAAATCGTGACACCACATCCACAGGCAGTGTATGTACAAATTTTGAGTTCTATATCTTATCGGGAAGCTGTTTAAAAATCGATGACCATCTTTTAATAGCAACACACACCCAAGACTAAGCTAAATAAAATATTTTAAAATAATAATAATAATTAAAAAGCATATATTTTTCATGAACCATTACGGAACTTCCAGTACCAGTTTCAAATGTACCGATTACGAAATTACAGTAGTAAACAATGTTAAAAATGTGTAAATAGTATTAGAAATCATCCAATTCAGTGGCGTGATTCTTCACAGAAAAGTAATAGTGTAAATGTTATCAAATGTTAGTAATAATGTAAATGTGAAGTTAAGTGTAAAGGGAAGGAAGACTGCGGTCTTCTGAATGGGTCCTAAAGACGAAACTCTTTCATATCTTTTTTTTCCTTCTCTTGCTAATGGCAGCTGTGCAAAAGAGCGTTGCATGTGAATATGGCTTTAAAGGTATCAAATGTCTAGAAAACATGCAGCAATTAATTCCACATGGAAGTAAAGCAGAATGCATTCATTAAAAAAGATACAATTTTAAATTTCAAGATTTTAGATATGTGTAATAAAAAAAAAATTTCTTTCACAAATTATTAAAAATTAAATTAATAATGCCTTCTAATTCAGTAACCACATTTCAGATATTTATTTAAGGCCAGTGAGCAGCATGGCTTTAGATCGTAACAGTAATTGTTATTGCTTCCTTAGTTTCCTAATTAAACATTATTTTTGCCAAAATTCCTCTTTCAATACCAGCCATTATAATTCTGATTGTTATAATTTTCAAAAAGCAGCTTAAATTATCAATATGAACTAAAAGTTCGCAAAGCTAAAGCAGTTTTTAATAATGCAGGATTAGTGAGCAGAGGTTGCAACAGCTCTCATTTGTATTGACACCTAATATTAACTTCATTATGAATGAAATTGTGAACTGTAGCATGATAGAATTTACATAACAACTAGTCATAAGTGTGTAGGACATTTCATAGAGATGCATATATGTATAAAGTAATTTTACTAATATTAAAATATTATTAATAGTTTTTTCACATTTTATTTTATATATTTCAGTTGTCATGCTGACGTATGAAAGGGAAGCTGTTCTGATAGATTCTCTTCAAAGATTGCGTGGATTACCATATTTGAACAAAGTAGTTGTAGTGTGGAACAGTGATCATCTTCCCTCATCAGATCTTCGATGGCCTGAAATTGGAGTTCCTATTCATGTAATGTAGTTTTGACGTATGCCAACTCCCTCCCCCATTTAAAAACATTATGCTTATTGTAAATAATATTTTTAATTTAATATATTTTATTCTTAATATTTCAAATTCAATAATATTTTGGGTATGAAAGGTTTTTGGTTTATTTTATATTTACATTATTCAGTTCATTAAACAGAAAAATCTGTATAATATTTTCATTTAAAGTAAAAATATATAAAATAATTGTTTTGTTTATTTCTATACAGGTTATAAAAGCAAAGAAAAATAGCTTGAATAACCGTTTTTTGCCTTATGACGCCGTAGAAACAGAGGCAGTTCTATCTGTAGACGATGATGCTCATTTGCGGCATGATGAAATTGTTTTTGGTTTTAGGTTAGATTTCTTTTAATTTTTCCCCCCTCTGACAGAAAAAAAAAATATTTTCTCTTTTATTTAGGTGTTATCCATAGTATAGTTGTAAAAGAAAAAAAAAATACTTCTTATCTTGAGAATTTAATGATAAGCTAATTGATATTCTTCGTTCTGTTTTAAAATAATAAACTCATGAGATTTAAAAGTTTTCCTTGTAATATTTATTTTTGCTTGTGATATTTTCTTGACTACATGTGGTTTATTTAACACTGAACATAACAAAATCATTCTATGCTTTATTATCACTGTGAAAACATGAGTAGCATTTATGCTTATGAAGGTTACCTATGTGTAATGACCAAAATTAAGATTACAAACACAAATAGTGTAACATCTGAAAAAAATAATTTGTTTATTGGAATGAAATTTTATACATAGTTGTCTAATGCCATGAGATAGTCAGTGGTAACATTGACAAAATAAACAGAGATTAAATATTTTGCAATATGCAAATGAAATCCCAAGCAGTCAAAACATACCACTTCATGTTTCCAGAGGAATATGACCACTCAACATAGCTTACAATATACCTTTTTATTGTATCCTCAACGTGATTGTTAATCATAACTTGTGGTAACAAATCCTATTAATTTAAAAATAAGGACTTTAACACCTGATATGATGCAGTACTTCTTTTTGTATAGGATTCCAAACATGCTGTATAGGATTTTAGTGACTTCACTGTTCACACCATATGATGAATATATCTTTCTCCAAAAAAATCATTAACCATTCGACTTTTGCATGACCTCACATTATTATCTTTATTTAAAAATTATCTCTACTAAATCCTTTCTAAAAACTCCAAAAAAGCCTTATTAAGATTCAGTGGCTTTATCTCTATAATGTTGGGAGTCACAGCACCTGTACTGAAGATTTAGTGGTATTGGTCATCAAACATAATGCTTCCTTATACAAAACATTTTATTCAATTAATTGACTTATCGTGGTAGAGATGGCATGTTCAAAAATATCATCCCCTTCCTATCGGGAATAAAGGTAAAAAATATTATTTTGTCAAAAGATCTTCTTTCTAATCCAAGGCTTCTTCAGAATTATTTTATTGACTGAAGACAGTTTACTTGGAAGCAGATAAAAGCATTCATTATAAAATAATGAAACATATTTTAATTTCACAGTGCATGTTATTACCTAAGTATACATAATGCACAGTTGAGAAATTATTGATTACATTTGTAGTCCATTTGTGCATTACTAGTTCTAAAATTTTCTGGTTTCGTTGCTCCCCGCATGCACAAATCACATGATGTGAATCATTTGGCGAAAGTTTCAACACAGTGTGTGCAGCATTGGGGGGGAGGCTTATACTGGGAGCCAACTGTTCTCTAGAGTGGTTTGTTTGATGGTAGAGAAAAGGAGTGAGAGACTTTCGGATGCATCACTTGAAGTGTGTTCCTTTAAGATTGAGATGGAACTGGATAGTTAGTATGATAGGATTATACTTCTGAGAGCATTTGGTGTTTTGATTTTCTACCTATTTCTTCCTTCCTGTGTACTAAATCTTGACTTATTGCTGAAGAGACATGGCTCTAATCTTTCTGTGCTCCAGAATATCACTGATCTCTAAACGAAAAGAGCATTCTCTGCTAGGTGTCTGTATACAGTTTTCCTAGATATTATTTTCCAGATATAGCAGCAAGATACTGAGAGAGTTCTGTAATTGTCATCACTCAATAGCATTGTGCATTTAATGCCATGTATTGAGCCTTTACTTGCATCATGATTCTTTAACAACCTTAACCAGGCCTTCTAGTAATAATTTACAAAGTGTGTAATTTCATGCCATAACCTGGGTACTATTATTCAAAACCTCCTAACCCTCAAACAACCTCTACTTCAAACTGGCCACTTCTAACCTCCCTATGCATCTTCATATCACTTCATCATTTTGATTGTAAGAGCTCATTTTAACTGAAATCAGTCAATTATGATTTTTCTTGAAAGAAGCATAGTTCTGTAGATGAATTTCAGATATCTGGAAATCAGCTGCCTTCACATTTTCTCAAAAAAGTATATCCGTTTAACATTTAAATTACCACTGGATGCTTATGTTACATGTACCATTCCTAAAATGGATGACTTCATGTTTTAAAATATTAGTGATACTTTTTCTGAGTTATAGCAAAAATTGTGTTATAACTTTAATTCTGGATATTATTTTGTATTTATATTGCTCAGAAAATTTTATGCACAGTTCCTTTTTCTTTAAAGTGAAGTTTTAAATTTTCTTTTATGTTACTCATATTATAAAAATGTTTATTTCTCTCTGATACAGAAATCAAATATATTAAATTGGTCAAGAATCTAATTTAAAATCTTAACTGGTTCTAAAATCTTAGTAGTTTCTAGCTCAAGTTTTTCAGTTTTGAGCTTATATGTGAAGAACATGGAAACTAATATCAGTTCATGTTTTATTTTTTATTTACAAATTAGGAGTATTTTTATAGGTATTGTTTGAGTGCAATTTTTTAAATGAATGCAGTATGCAGAAAGTAATTGTACCTTTTGGTAAAGTTATAGCTTATGATCTCAAGATTTAATTACTTTAATTTTATTACCAAAAAATATGAATGTAAGTTATTTGTTCTCTTTTAAAAATTTATGAACTTGAATCCAAGAAGTAATAATTATATGCTGTGATTGGACTTTTAATAATAATTTATTTGTCATTTTAGAGTTTGGAGGGAAGCTAGGGATCGTATTGTAGGTTTTCCTGGACGATACCATGCCTGGGATTCTCTGAATGGTGGATGGTTATACAACTCAAACTATTCTTGTGAATTGTCTATGGTTTTAACTGGAGCTGCTTTCTTTCACAAGGTTTATTTTGTTTTATATTTAATGATTTTATTTTCCATTTACTATTGAATGTTCAGTTGTAATTTTTGCTTTTACTGTGTTAACTTAGTATTTTCAAAAATATTTTTCTCATAATTTTTAATACACACTTGAACTTAAGCAAATTTACTTATTAGATCATATTGAAAATTTGTGTGTAAAGTTGAAATTCATAATGCAAGATTTTTTTTAAATTAATCCTTTTATTTTCTTTTGCAAATGTAATAAAGTGTGTATGAAGTATCTGAATTCAAGTTCTGTTTGATGTGAAACAGCTTATTTGATTTTACTACCATTCCTGATTAAATAAATTAAAAAAATAATTTTTTTATAATTTTCTGTTCTGCATTCATAATCATATTGGAGCCCATTAGTGTCCAATAAATACAATCAGTAAATATTTAGTGGTGTTTCTGAAATGCACTTTTTCCTTGGCTGCGATAACTTTCCATGATTTTTCCATTGTTTGTAATATATAAATATAAATCAATTTTCTTTTAGTTAGTCTTGCTTAAGGGACATATTTTCCTGTGACACATCTTTTATTGCATTTTATCCAGAAGTGTTTGGCATCCCTTGCTTGGCATCCCCTCCCATCTAACTTGCAGCATGTTTTAGAAAATTCTAAACATCTCCTGGTGTGAAGATGTATGCGTTCAAAACAGCTTTACATCAGAATTATCTTGAATAAATAAATGGTATCCAAAATAAAAATAATTAGTTTATACTGATTCTGGTATGATGACAGGACTAGGACCATTTAGATTAAGGTTATCTGATTATGGCAAAGCATTCGAGGGTCATCTGCCTTAGTGAAGGGATGCCTTTATGAGGGACTTTATATTCACATTGCACATGACCATTTTGCCTAGAATTAAGCCCAGGTCGAACCACTAGGTGTTCAGCAACATTACTGCTTGGCTGCTGGTGGGCCTGGGACAGTTCAAATTTTGGAATCAATATGAATAATTATTGCTTTAGTAGCATTCTAATGTTTTTTCTAAAAGAATCAATTCCATTGTGCATGCTTTTCATACATAGTGGTAATATATGTATATTTATGGACTACAAATCTTTTCTCCAAAACATCTATTAAAAGCATTTTAATAAATATATTTTTTGACTTTCTGAGAACCAACCTTAAACTCTCAGTTTTCCTCAAAAAATATGTAAAAAAATTAATCATTAACATTTTATATATAATATGGAAAGGAAGTTTTTAATCAGCAGTGGCAAATTTTCTAATGAAATCTCCAAAATAGTGCTGCATCACCAAAGAAAAGTTGAATTTATATATTTTCAATTTCCTGGTCACATTAATTTAGGAGTTAATTTTCTGTAACATACACTTTTAAATAAGCAAAAGTCTTAGTACTTAGAAATTTGAGCTAATAAATATGATGCAGTTTCTCCTTAGACAAAAATAGCCTCCTCCCCTTAGACCAGTGTTTCTTAAACTATGGGTTGTGAAAATTCAATTCCGTTGTTGAATTTAAAGGAACTGCATTCATAAGACTTTTCAGGAAATTACATTAATTGACAATAATGGGATTAGACTTGTAAAGATGTTACAATAATTGATGTTAATGAGATTATTTACCTGTTATATAACGTGCAAAAGAATTTGTAAAGCTATTTATCGATTCAAACCTAAAATATTAAAGTTTTCACAAAAATCCTTGATGTATTCTGGATCAGAATTAGAACTATATTTTTCATTATTTCTGAAATGGCATTAAATGTTCTTCCTTCATTCAGCACTATATGTTTTTAAAAAACTACTTTTCCAGCTTTAACACTAAGTAAAACCAAATGTCGTTCAATGTTAAAACATGCTGAAGGTGCTTTATGACCAGCAGTGTCAAATATCACTTTAATTTGTTATGCAGCAAAAAACGAGCACATTTTTCTCAGTAGAATTTTCTTTAATTTTTGTTTGCTTAAATCCTAAAATACTTTTTTTTATATGTATATTGTTTACCAAAGAAGTAAATTATTTACAGGAGGATATTTATTTTTATATCTTCATTTTGTTATGAAAAAACTCTCAGTGATTAAAAAAGGGGTTGTGATTGGAAAAAGTTTAAGAAGCCCTGCCCTGACCATCTTTGAGTACTTGATCATTATTCAGTAATTGAAAGCAGTCTTTTAAAGTTTTGCTTTAGTAAAAACGATTAATTTTTGTGAATTTTAGAATCCTTTTTTATTATCTGCATGCTAGAAAATGCATGTGATTGAGTAATTGAATTGTACGAGGGCCATCAAGGAAGTAGATTACGTTTCCGTCTGTGTCCGCTAGGGGCGGGGCTAGCGCGGCCATCTTGGGGTCAGAGCGTTGCGCAGCTCAGTCTGCATCTAGCCGTGCTAGTGAGAGGTTCGTGCTGTGCTCCGTTCAGATACTGTGACGGTTTGAAATGTCTGCGTTAATTGAAAATCCCGCGAGCTGCGCTCAGTAATAAGGTTCTGACTGCAAAAAAACTGTAAACCGATAGAAATCTATCGGCAGCTTCGTGAAGTGTATGGGACAACATTATCACTGAAGGTGGAGTGCGTCAGTGGGTCATAAGATTTCAAAATGGCCGAACCAATGTTCACGACGAAGATCGAAGTGGGAGACCCAGCATAGTGACCGCCGAACTTCTCGAAAAAGTCGATGCTAAAGTCCGTGAAAAATCGAAATTTCACAATAACGGAACTTTCTTTGAGTTTTCCCACAAATTTCGCAAAGTTTGTTGCACGAAATCATCAGCGAAAAGCTTGGTTACCACAAGTTTTGTGCAAGATGGATTCCAAAAATCTTGACAGAGGACCACAAAAATCAGCGAATGGCTGCAGCGTTGAACTTTTTGGACGCTTACCATAAGGATGGTGACTCTTTACTCTTTACTCGATCGCATCGTTACTGGTGACGAAACATGGGTGAAACATGTGAACTGTGAAACGAAATTGCAATCAATGCAGTGGGGCACACAAGTTCTCCCCAAAAACCCAAAATGCATGCAAACAATGTCGGCAAGGAAAATGATGGCGACTGTTTTTTGGGACAGAAAAGGTGTAATTTTGGTGGACTTCCTGGAAAGAGGCACTACAATAAACTCTCAAAGGTATTGCCAAACTCTCCAAAAACTCAGAAGAGCAATTCAAAACAAGCGCAGAGGAATGTTGAGCTCTAAGATCTTGTTGGATTCACGACAACGCCCGGCCCCACACGGCAAATGTCACTCGTAAAGTTCTTGAATCTTTAAGTGGGAGTTGTTTCCTCATCCGCCGTACAGTCCCGACCTGGCACCGAGCGACTTCCACCTATTCCCAGCAATGAAGAAGTGGCTGGCTATGCAGCGTTTTGATGACGACGCACAGCTGGCAAGAAGAGGTAACGAAGTGGTTGAAGGCGCAGGCGGCCGAATTTTTCGACGAAGGAATTTCCAAGCTCGTACATCGCTACGATAAATGCCTTAATTTGTATGGTGACTATGTAGAAAAGTAGTATTTGAGTGTGGCTTTCATCTGTATATAATAAAATTTGTTTCCTATACTTTGTTTATTTTTTTATTCCAAAATGTAATCTACTTTCTGGATAGCCCTCGTACTTATCTTTGCCTTTTATTTTCCATTTTCTGGGGTTAATTAACTAATTACATATTTTTTTACTTATAGTATTACACTTATTTATACACTTACTCTATGCCTCAAGTGATTCGGGACAAAGTGGATGAATACATGAATTGTGAAGACATTGCAATGAATTTTCTTGTATCTCATGTCACTAGAAAACCACCTGTCAAGGTAAGTTGTTTTTTGTTTTCCAATTTTTCAGTTTCTGGTTTTTGAAATGAGTTAAAATTAACATATCATTAACAAGGACCATAGAGTCCATAAATTGTAATTTAGATTTACATTCTTACAATTTTTGTCCTTTACCTCTATATAAATACACACTAATAGTGCAAAATGGATTGGATGTGTTTTAAAGTGAATTTTTTGATAAATCTGAATAAATTACAATAATCTATTCAATAATTTTTGAAAATCTGAATAAGTTAGATTTACACATAAAAATTTAGAAAAGTATGTAAAAGGATACTTTCAAAAATTCATTGAATATTCATTCATCGAAAATTCATTGAACATGATATTTAATAAATAAACGTAACAGACAAAATGTTGAAAAAACTCCCCTTTGGACGTAATTTAAAATCTGAAACCCTTCAGATTTTTAATCCCCTGCCCACCCTTTTTTTTTTTAAGTTCTGGCATTTGATAAAAAGAAATGATAATAGAAATGATCTGCAAAATGTATTTATTATGAGGAAATTGAGAGTAAATAATCTTCTGTATGATTGTAACCTTAATAAAGCCCTTTTATTTTTTAAATCTCTTGAATAAGGGTTTTTTTTTTTTATCCTCCGTTAAAGCCGAAAGGAGTGTTAGACCCAAAATGCCATTAGTCTCAAAATGGCATTTTGCATTGTTTCACTTTCTACAGTGGCTCACTTTTCAAACTGGTGCCACCAAATATTATTGCTGTGTGTTTAAAGAAATTAAATAATGAAGAATCTGCATGAATGTTTCGTGCATTGTGAAAAAACAATGGTGCGTGTTTGGAAGCCCGAATGTTGAATTTCAAATTTGTTTTATTATACATTTTAATTTTTGTAAAACTTCAACCTATTTTTATTAACAAACTCAACTATTTCAAAGTGAGGAAAAAAAATATTATCTTCAGTGTGCGAGACTGTATATTGGAAATTCTAAAGATATGCTGTTTTGCTATTTTAAAATATTTTGTGATATTGCTGTTGAATTGAATTTTATGTGGTTTAAGTGTGAAGAACGTAATATTTAATAAATAAAGGTAACACACAAAACGTTTAAAACACGCCCTTTTGGGCATAATTTAAAATCTGAAAAGTTTCAGTTTTTTTATATATATATGACTATAACTTATTGAAATAGCAATGATAATAAATGAACTTCTGATTTACTGGCATAAAACTGAACATGAGTCTGTGCCACCCACCACCATGATTAATATAAATGCAGTTAAAAAAGCACAGGAAAAGAGAATAACCTACATTAAAATTAACAAAAAAAATGGTTATTGATAATTCATAAATTGAATCAGTATACAAAACAAAAAGAAATCCCTGTGAGTAAAAAAAAAGTAAATAGTATTAAGAAATGAAGAAATTACGTTATAAATGGCATTAACCTTTTCAGGATGGGTGTCCCATATATGCATTCCCTAAGAACATCTCTTACAGCCGGGCATCCCATCCACGCATCACTAGAGATTCCATTCAGAGGACGGGTGATGCGTATATGCATTTTAAGCTGGAACGTTTTTCTGAAGGCCACTAGATGGCATCCTATGTCCATTACTTTGGAAATGAACACAGTTTAAGATTCCTGACCTTGAGTTTATATATTCTGTTTGACTTTGTTATTTTACTCTTCAACTGTTGCGAGGGTGTGGGGGAGGGAAAGCATAACCAGAGGTGGGCTCTTTAAATCACCATGTACTAATATAAAATATTCGCGTGTCTATTTACCATATTCAGTCTTCATTTTAAATTTTGTTACTTTTTACTGTAAATAGTCTTTAATGTTTGTTTATTAATTTTAAATTTATTGATGAATTTTATCAATTAAAAACTTGGAATAATTAATAGCGCTTCCAAAAATTATTTTACAAGATAAGCAATTTTTTAATTATATTTTCATGTAAAATAAAGAAAAAAAGGCTATTGTGCTAATTTAAACATATATAAGAACTCAAGTAATAATCTAAAATGATACCAAAAATTAGGATGTTCTGATTTATTTTTATAAAATTAGGCTTAGCGATGCAAAACCTCCGCCCTGTACGGTGACTGTCTTGGATTCCTTTCTATCCCGCACGAGCATCTTAAACAAAGGTGCGCCATCGCGAAAGGGTTAAAGAACAGTATGGACAAGAAAATTTAAACAATGCCATTGCATCATTGGGTTAAAAAATGTCAATAGTAGTTTTTTAATTTTTCCACAACAAAAAAATTTAATTTTTGACATGGAGCTATTTAATTCACAACCCAGTTAATTGGAAATTGACTATGTTGATATTCATAGTTTAATTTAAAATTTTTATTGATGTAGGTAACATCAAGGTGGACTTTCCGATGTCCTGGTTGTCCGGTCTCTCTCTCTGAAGAGGATTCACATTTCCAAGAAAGACACAAATGTATTGATCATTTTGCTCAGGTTTATGGTTACATGCCTCTATTAAACACCCAATTTAGAGCTGACTCTGTCCTTTTTAAGACTAGAATTCCCCATGATAAACAAAAATGTTTTAAATTTATCTAATTTTTGTTAAGTTTCGTTTGAATCATGTTGCGGAATTTTTTACATATTACTATGAATATTTTGCAAAAGCATTTCATTTCTCAAGTTTTACCTCCAGTATGCAAGATCTTAATTATGTTTTGTACTCTTATCTAAGATTTCTTTTTTTGTTTAAACAAAGTACAAGAGTTATATTGTTTTCCATTATCATATGTTCTGAATGTTTACTGTATAGTCTTAGCTTGAATTTACGTTTTTGGTTTCTGTATTTTAATCAGATTTTTAGAATAATGTTTCAGAATCATATTTTGAATATTTTTTCATTTAAATTCTTAACTATCCCCCCCTTCTGAGAAAATTCATGAAGGTATTCTAAAGCAGTTATCCTCTGACTGCTTTGCCATAATAAATATCGTAACTTAATTGTTTTTATATTTAAAAAAAATATTATATCTGAATTGATATCGTGCCATTTAACTATAATGATATCTTCATTAAATTATGGATGCTGCTTTATTATGTTTTGTTAATTTTTAGTGAAGATAATTTGTTAAACTTTTATTGTTTTATGTATTTATAAGTTGCCATTCTTTGAGTGTTGATATGGTTTCCTTAATTTTCATCTTTATTATATGAAATTAGACAAATCTTATCTATTACTGTACAGGTATCTCCCTCATAACATGGTAGAAAGATTCCTAAATGTACCATGTTTGTGTGAAACGATGTTATACAAGACTTAACAATTAATATAAAATGAAGGAATGCATTCTGAAAACTTTTTGAAAACAAAATACTTTTTTAATGACTCTCTCTATTGCCTCATTTAAATTTAGACTTTTTTGCAATGTGAGTTGTAATTTTTTTCTCCATTTAACAAATGATTCAAAACTTACATTTTCATCTCGAAAGAAATAAACTTTCTTTTAAATGTTGTTTCATACTTTCAAACATACTTTGGGACTGAAGTATAATTTTGCAATAATTATTCTTATAAATAACAAGGATTATTGCCGATGGATACCCAAAATGCTTTTTGTTAAGTTTATTCCAAAATTGTAGTTATGCATATTATGCAGTCTCCCAACAGAACATTTGAAGCACAAGATACATACTGTGTAAATGATGGCCTTGACCCAGTTTCAAAAGAATTTTGACCTGAAAAAATGTGAGTATTCCTGGAATTTGTTTTTGTGTGTATAAATAGTAAGGTTATTTTTGTGTACTACATGCGCAAGCCGTAGTAACATACTATACCTTCACATGTTAATTTTGTAAATGTTTAGAATAAAAATGTTGTTATCGAATAACTATTGAATAACTTACATAGATAAAGTGTTTTAAGAGGGTCTGCATACATTCATTAATGTTCTAGAATAAAAAACTATGTTATCATGCTATATACAAGGCTTTCTACAAATTTCTTATTATGAGCAAAACTGTGTTATAAGAGCGATGCCTGTATTTAATTGTCTAATTTATGCTATTATATTTTTCTGATAGTATAAATAGTTTTAATATGAATCATTACCTGAATTACTACTTGCACATCAGTATAAATCTGGTGCTATACTTCCTAATTCTTGTTGTATGCTAAACAGCAAAATAAGAAAATATACCATAGATTTGTAGATAAATCAGTTTTTTAATTAATATTATCTTTATTTCCATTCATATTATTAAAAGAATTTTGCCCTTTAAATAATATTACTTATTTATTTCTTAATATATTTCTTATTCTTTAAATGCAATTTATTTACATCTTTGTACATTATTCCTCCACTCTTCTATTTATTTCTTTGTTCATTACTTAATCATAGTATTCTTTATTTATTTATTGTATTTAATTAAATAATTCTTATAAGTGCATTTTATTTTCCATTTTGATTAACATTTATTATGCTTCGGGATAGTGAAATAATGTAATTATATTTATTTTACACCATATTAAAAAAAAAGTATTGCAATTTTAAATCAAATGAAGTTCAAAAGTTTCAGCAACCTGCTTAGATGTGTGAGTGATAGGAAAAACATAATGTTAATTAAGACAACCAGTTCTAATGATAATACAATCAAAAATTATTTTAAAGTTTTTTTTGTATTAGTGCCATTGTTTAGTTCAAGTGTAAATATATTTCAATCCAAAATGGAGGAAAAAAGACTTAGAGCTTATCTATACTGCCTCTTGAAAGTTAAGCAATAAATATATTATGAATGAAAAATTCTTTAATGATCTGAATAAAACTTTTATAATAAATTAATGCAGTGATAGCATAATAATGCATAGCAGAAGAGTAAATTCTATGGGAAATTTAAATAACAGGAACCACTTGAGGAAAGTTGTTTTTTATCTTGAAATGGGCAAGAATTGCTCAAATATGAATAAACCATTTTTTTTCCTAAACAGAATTTATGTTATAGGAAACTCTACCTTTCTACAAATTATTTTTTTACATAGTCTCCTCCTTTATGATACATTTTTCAAAAGATTTTTGCAGCCTTTCATGTAGAATGAAGCTGGGTGGGTATCTAACCACTCATATACAAATGTTTCTAGTTCATCATCAAGCTCAAATTTCTTGTTCCCAAGTACTTCTTTGAAGGGTTTGAACATGTGGAAATTCAGTATAAAAAAACCATGGCTCTGAAGTAGACAATCAAATTTTAGCTTTCACAAGGTTTCTTTAACCTTTCCTCCTCCAATTTATGCTTGATCGGCCCAGTGGTAAAGTCACCAAGGTTTGAATCCCGCGAACAGGCTGTCTGCATGTGCGTTTTGCGGTTTTTCCCATGTGTAATGTGTATCCAAGCCAGTTGTCCTTAGAAAGTCTTCCACAAAGGCATCCCTTCCCTTAGGCAGATAGCTGTTGAGGCTTTGCTGTAATTTAATAAACCAAAGCAATTCATGCTTGCACACACTTTGATTCTGGGGTGTAATGATACACCCATGTCTCATCATAGTTGATGATTTTATTCAAAAACATTTCTGTTTCTTCTTCTTCAAAAGGAGTTAGAAACAATAAAGAAATACAAACTTGTGCAGCTTTTAAATCATCATTCAGTGAGGATGCTGGGAATGAGCTTTATCGGCAGCATGTTCACAGCATTGCTTGAAATCATTGCTAAAGGGTATTTTGCCTGAAATGAACTTGCAGTCTGCAGTAAGTTTTGCCAGGTTTTCTTTTCAGGCAACCAGGTTCATTCATGTATTTTGTGTGGCCCCTTGCTGCACAGAAACTATATACTTACTAACATACATGCTTTCTCTGGAATTCGAACCCATTCCAGATCCTTTGGTATGGCAGTCAGTGTAACTAACAAGTATCCCTTCTGGGCAGCCTTACTCTAGACGAGCGGCTCTCAACCTTTTGACTAACGTGTACCATCTAAACAAAAATTGAAAACCTTTAGTACCAACACTACAAAGTACTGCTACCACCACCACTCTTGAACAAAGCTCAAATCGCATAAATTTACGAGAGTTATAGAAAAAATTCAATTAGTATGTTGGGGTTCTAATTTTTGAATGTAATAGTTAAAAATAGTTTGCTTCTTTTGTACCACCTATTTTTCTCTTGCGTACCACCGGTTGAGAACCACTGCTGTAGGCAATCCAACATAATGATTTCAGCTGTCCTCACACCCTTCACTAGAAACACCCTTCCTAATGCTCAGCCAATAAAGGCTTATTTATATTTGATTGCCCTTCATATACAGGTTAATAACTGTGATTTGCTAGTTACAGATAAATGAGATTTTTGAGACTGACATTTTCATAAATGCAGATCTGATAAGCCTCTATATAAATTAGAAATTCAGATATAGATCTGACTACATACGTATACAAATTAAAAATACAGATCTGATTTTAAGCTGCCCATGGCAGCATGGAAATTAATGGAGGCTGGCTGCTAATTTGAAACCAAGGACTTGATTCAATCTCATTTATGTCTTGGCTGTGTGTGTATTGCTTTTCTCCTTCTTTGCAGGTTACCTTTTGTGATACATCTCTGATATCATTCATAGTCATGCAATTGCTAAAATACAGAACGATTTGGCCATTATTCCAAACAGATTCTCAATCAATAAATATTCTGCCTGTAGAGAACAGAAAAAGATCTGAGTTTAGAAGTTTAAAGATAATGTAATGAAATGTATAAACCCTTTTTCTGGAGTATTAAAACAATCCAATTTTCTAACTTCAATAGTTTGTGAGGGTCAAGTAATACAATTTGCCAATCCATACTACTGATTATATTTTATAAATGTATGTAGGGTTGTCCAAAGATTGAATAATTAAATCTGTCTTGAATGGTCCATCATAAATTTGTGCCAACCAGTGGCCTAGTAGAAAAGTTGCTGAACATTGGTAGTTCAGTCCGGGATTTGAATTCCATTACATGGGCATTTTTGTGGCTTTCCCCATGTGTAACATGTACATGAGCAAGTAAAATTACTGTGCAGGCTTCATGCAGAGAAAAATATTGATTGAAAAAAAATTTTTTAACAGCAAAATTAGTCAAATAACCAAATTCATTCATACCACTAATATTATCCAAACTTACCATTAATATATCTCTCTATCTCTTATCTTATCTCTTAAAATATATATAGGTACCATGTACAAATATTGCTAAAAAGGAGCAAGCAGATTTTCAAAGGTTTTAGATATCTGTTTGTAGAAATGCTAAAATTTATTCGTAAAAGTTTTTCATAGCATAATTAAAATTTTACAGACCTATTAATATCAAAGTTCCTCTTTCATAAAAGTAAACTGTTTAAATCATAAATTTTACTTTTGAGAATTATTTTGTATATTGCAGATCATTAGAAAGAAGCTTTTTATTAGGGATAAGAAATCACTGACTAATTTGAACTTCTCTTGTGTAAGAAAATGAACTATATATTTAAATTAACTCTATATTTCAATTAAAAGATGTTGCACAGCCAGATTGAGAAATGATGATTTGTTTAAATCATAAGCAGAAACGTGGCTGTGCAATTAATCTTTCACAAAATATTTGGACATAAATTCTTTTGAAAATTCTGTATAGTTGTTAACATATTTCTTTGCATATTTTCCCCCATTCTTTTACTAATATGATTGTTCAAAAATCGAGAGGGCAAAATTATGCGAATCATTTCATTTTCAGAGGGTATGTTTACAGTAAAAACATAACAAGTGGAAAGTAATCATTGATAAACTGCAGGTAATTATTGCAGTATTATTTCGTTAAAAGAAATATACATTCCAATAAGAATATGTAATAATATTATCATTACAATATTTAATAAAGTATTTTCATTTCTACTTTCCTATAACTTGAATCTTGTCCATTCTTATTGTTGTCTTTGCTGCTTCTTAGGCTTCAAGCCATCCATAAATAATCGGAGAAGTTGCATGTGCAACCAACCTGCCAAAATCACAGACTGAATGCCAGTTTATGTTTGCTTCATTGTCATGGGCTGGTTTTTATATTAGGTTGGCGTAAAGTGCAACAGGTAGAAAGGAAAGTTTTAGCGTGACATTTTCACGTAGTTTGTGAGGGTTTGCCTTTATTGTAAAATGAAAACAATCACTACATGGACAAATCCATTTTAAAATGTAAGGGAGCTCATTTCCTGAACACAAAGTATTGGAAAATTACGGAAAAGAGTTGAAAGGGCACTAAAAAAGCGTAAAATGACATTTAATATTTTTTTAATTTTCAGTCAATAATTCTGGCACTAAAAAACTAACTTGCATAGTGTCATTTCTTTGAATAAAATAATCATAATCAACAGGCGTAAGTACTTCTCCTTAATCTGGAATTGGAACGAGTCACTGGTGTTTTAAATGCATATTTGATTTCAGGATTTTATCATTCCTCATAATAATTAACTTAACTTTCTGGAAGATGTGAAGATTGTACTACCACTGATTATTATTCTAGTCTGTACAAAATAAATCAAAACTGTGTACTTTTTGCTGTGCTGTGTCATACTGATGTTCTGCAGATCAGTTTGTGTTCAAAATATCAGTTTTGAAACCTGATTGGCATAATCGTTTTAGTGTGTGTTGTATTAGTGACTGACTGAATCTAGCTGATAGACTTTTAAAAAATCAGTCTCAATTTAAACAGATCCCATATCTTTCAGTATTGTGTATTTTCTAAAATATCTTGCACTTACAGAACAGGTAGTCGTCTTTCTTGATTATTTGCATTTCAGGCATTTGAAAAAAATGTGGAAGTAGTGTGGCTAGCTTAATAACAAATTAAAACACTCTCAGTATAATATGGTAGTAACCTTGAAGAATATAGTGGAAGCTGACTGCTAGTCTGAACCCCTAGGTCTGGGTTCAGCTTTTGTGTGAGGCTTGATTGTTTGTATGCATCCTATCTCTACTTCATGTAGGTGTAATGCAAAACTGAATCCAAAAATCCAGATATCCAACATCTAGAATAATCTATTATCTGGACCACTAGCCAAAAAATAGTTAATTAAGTAGTTAAAATATTAAACCCTTCTTTATAATGTCGAGGAAGGGAGAATGTAACAACAAAAGGAAGCAGGTGTGCCGTAAATGTGATTTTTCTTCAGACTGATGTCACACTCAATGGCCAATGCACTGATTGATGTTTATTGATGTTGGTTTTCAGTCCTGTGGTGATTTGGGGGGAAGGCATGGCCAGTGCTGCAGATTTTTCTGTCTAGTGCAGTTTCTTCATTTCTTAAATTCTACCATCCCTAATTTTTGCTGCTTGGTGCACCATTAAATTCCAAAATTTTTTATCCCCTAAATTCTGACATCCGGTGCAGCTGTAGTAGTTGCACCTGCTCTGTTGCAATTGCCTGTGTAGGATTAGCTGATCTAAATGGTAAGTGAACAGGACCGGATATAGATTTGACGAGATCCTAAACTAATTGAAATATCGGGCCCTTTATGAGGGATATGAGACTTTTTTTTTTCTCCTTAATACAGGATATAGTGCAATTTTTGAAGGTTTCCTCAAGAACGTGGGGGCCCTAAGCTATAGCTTGTGCTGCTTATACGTAAATCCAGCACTGTAAGTGAAGCCCTGGCATTGCGATGTCTGTATGTCATCTTACTGATTTAAGCTAATGATTTTATAAGGTATTAATTACTCCTGCATTCGTGGTGTAGTGGTCTGCACGCTGAGCACATATTCCAGAGGTCCGTGGTTCGATTCTTGGTGAAGGTGTTGCTCATATTTCACTTCTCATGCCTCTAAAATATCTAATGTCTCTACAATCTAAAACTCAAAAATTTCCAGAATTACCATAGTCTCGACAATTCCAGATCTCGTACTTTGTACTGTATTGATCTGCTTCCCCACAGTACAACATAGGCAACATTTTTGGTAATTAATGGATAAACAGATCATGGGTTCAGTTATTTCCAACAGATGATGGAGAAGGAAGCATTAAAAAAAAAAAAAAAAGAAAGAAAGAAAAGTACAATTTTGATATTTTTGCTTCCTATTCAATTTCTTCTAAAGATTATTATATCATACTTTCTAAGTAAACACAAAATGAGGTAGGCACCAAAGATTTATTTTTTATAATGAACTAGTTCTTATAGCATTTTATTTTATACTAATTTAGTACTTTCTTAAATTCTTACATGTGTTACTTATTGAATTATTTATTTACATTATTGTGATACTCATTCAATTATGATGTGTTGCGTATTTCAATTTAATTGTTTTTCTGATTTTTATATTTGTTGCTTAACTTTTGATTATCAGTATATGTTCATTTTTAGTGTACTGTCCTGTGTTTATTGATGTTGTATGGGAGGAAGTATTATGTTTGATCTATATATAGTGAAACTTTCAGTGTTACTGTGAATGAAACTTCTGGTCATGTATTTTACTGTGTGGTTTGTGTGACTTGTACATTTGTAAATAGGGTTTTAGAAAGAATGCTCATTAGCATGTAATTTTAATCAAATGTCGAATGTTGTGATACATTTTTAGTGAGTACAGTCATTATCTAGTATTCTTCTATGTATTTTATTATAGTTATTTTTTATTTTTGTTAATTTTGAATCAGAAAATTTTGTTTTAAAATGTATTGCCAAATGTAACACTGATATACATTTTCGCCTTTAAGTAAAGGAAATTTTTTTATTATTTATTTTTATTTATTTTGCTTCTTTCCTTCTGTGTCTCTAGCTTTATCATCATCAGAATATCAGTTGTAAAATTGGTATACTTCACAGATAATGATTTTGTTCAGTTTAACAATCAACATTATCTTAAACATATCAGTAAATGAATTCCTGCTGTTATTTTTTTTTTCTTCAAAATGAAGTTATTTTTATAATATTTTAAGAAAATTACATGCATGTCGAAATATAAGTGGTACCTCAGTATATGTCATTATTTCATTCCAGAGCCTTGAATATGTACCAAATGAACTTTTCCAATGAGATATAAAGGAAATTTAATCAATCCATTCCAATAAAAAAAATCCTGTTATTATTTTAACACTGTTTAGTACTAAAATACAATTTCAGGGGTGAAATATACACTGTATATAGTTGAAGTAATGATGTACATAAGTTTTTTCTGCTTTCCAGATCAAATACAGTTTTTTAACGTGCACTGTCTCTGATCTTTGTTTGGTAACTGATTTTACCTCCTTCACGATGTTAGCCAGAGACTAGCCTCTTTGTTTTTAACAACTGTCAACACTATCATATTTGCCATATGGTATGCAATAGCCAAGCCCTGGGTAAGCATGGCATCCTCGGTGTACTGATGCTCAGGTGCAATCATAGCATTGTCTCAAGAAAAGTTGTAGCGACTCTAGGTGAACTTGTATTTACTCGCCAACTATGTACTTGCATCTCTAACTGCAGCCACAATGGAGGTTCAGGACAACTTAAACAAATGTAATACATACAGTCATAACTTATTGAACTCCATTCATATTCCAAAAAAATGTTACATACCAAAAATTAATTTCCGTGTCTTTGGACATAGAAGTCTTTGGACCTTTAGCATATACCAGGGTCAGCTCATCTGATAAACCTATCAGGTGAACTGAAGATGAGTGTTAGTACCCCTTCAGCTTCTGCTCGAGAAAGGGAAAACAAAACATGCTGCCCTGGCCAACCAGCAGCCGAGTGGTGGAGATGATCAGGTAAAATAAGTTCAAAGGTAAACAATAGGTAATGCTATTAATTTATTTATTACAAAATGATTATCACAAATCACTCACAAAGCAAAGGTTAAGTAATCCTGAGTAATAAACACTATGATATTGTTAGTCTATGCATACTAACATTTAACATGAACTTTAATTCATGATTCCTCGCTATTTTCTATTTATACTATAGCTAACGAGGAGAAGCAGTAGTGTCAGAACTTTAAGAAAAATACATCCTGTAATCTTGAAACTGTATTTCTTGGAAATTTCCAAAATGTTACCAAATTGGCAAGAAATCACTAAACAAACAATAAACTATCATAACAAGTGTACTAAGTTAAGACAAACCTAACCGAAGTAAAAATGCTGCCAGCCCATTCCCCTGGGATCGAAGCCAAACCAGGTGGAGCTAACAATGTGTAGTGATCTTCACCACTCGACCGCTACTGAGACTCCAATTACGAAAATAACTTACACTTGAAATAAAGTTTTTTTTTTTTTTCCCCGAGTTTGCTTCTTCTTTTGGCTTGATTGTTTAGGGCATCATCACGAACCCACAAAAATAATAAACGTATTTAAATTATATTTCATTTAAAGAAATTGCAGAATCGCATGAAAAATTTCATTAAAGGAAGTTTATGTTAAATTGCTGTTTCAATGAGTATTTGAGGTCATCTAAAATCTTAAATACTGTAAAAAAAAAAAAAAAAAAAAAAAAAAACAGTTTGTGAAAATCTTGTTGGCTATCCATTTTCTTTAAAATAAAAATATAACAATAGGGCATTAAATCAGATGCATGTTGTGCTTATTACATATAGATAAATTCTAATGCGCTGAATTAAGGAAATGGTAAATTCCTGATTCCAAATCCTCTCGATAATTACTTTATACTGCTCTTCTATGTAAATTTAATGAAAATCGTGAAACATAATTCTTGTATTTAAAATGCACAGGCTGTAAACGAGTACATAAATGCACTGTATACTGCACATTCATTTCCAACAATGAAGTTAAAGTATATTTGTCAAGAGAGAAAACTATGATATATCATTGGAATGTATGGCAAGATAAAAAAGAAAGCTAACCCCACAATGTACACTGGTATGTTTCTCTGCGCTGTTTGCAATCTGTTTTGAACATTCTGGCAATCTGGGAAGGACATTTCTGTCAAACGTTTGCACTTTGCATGCATAAATTTCATTCAGAAGAGTTCGTTGGAGCTAATCATAATTTTCGAAGGATATACCCCAGAGTGCATTGGACATTGATCCCGTAAGGTGATAATATGTAGGTATTTGAGAATAATGGCATATTTAGAAGAATCTCTCAGTTAAGCAGCTAAATGGCATGTTTTGTCATGTGGTTTATGATGCCTTGTCATGCATTTGGTCTTTCATCTTGAAGTTCTGCATGTTGTTGGAGTTGTTCTTAGATAAATTCGATTGTGGTTTGAATCAAAATCGATGGATTGTTGAAAGTTTCTTTATCAAAGTGTGATGAGCGACCAGAATGTGAAGCCTGTTCTTTCAATAACAGCGTCTATAATCCTGCTTTCAGGCAAAATAAAGGCAATCTGTCTGGATACCTGGGCAGCACTGGAGTCTGTGAACTGTACAGAAAAGTATCGTGAAAAAGTATTGGTGTAACTTTTTTTTGCAGCTTCATACTACATACTTGAGACAGTGAAAACAAAATTTAGTTAGCCAAAATAAAGCCATCCATATAGAACATATATATGAGATGTAATCAATTATAATTTGGTATTTTTAACTCCCCTGCAGTCGTCCGTGACATTTAGATCAATATTATGGGGCAAAAATTATATAACCTTATGCATCAATCCAATAGAATGGACCTATCAGTTTGGAGACCATTTTTATGATAAAATAAGTTTAAATTACCTTGATTAACATGTCACCAAAAATTCTCTTCAGAATTTCATGAAATAGACGTTCGTTTACACATGTTTTCACTGAATATCTTACTGGTGTTTTTATAAGCATTTGCAGCTTTATTACAAGTAATGAAACACTTTTTTGTGCAATATATTGCATACTTTGTACAAAATCGTTTGTTGGTATTCAGAGTGCGTCTGCATAGTTTGGAGATTAATTTTTTACTTTCTTGTACGAAGTAAAAAGCAAGTATTGCAATCGCGAAAAATTTTGGGTATCATATTTCAACGAAAATATCCGTTTTGACCGCTATCGAATGCAATATAACGATGTGTTTTGAGTGACATCTCTGCGTGAGAAATAAAGAATAAAGGACTCTTTTTCTCCAAAAAATTATAACAACTGATTTAAAATGAATTCTGAAGAGATTGTTTCGTGGCGTCTGTGCGTACGTACATACCGCATGTATGTAGATATATCGCATAGCTGAAAAAGGAGTAGCCTCAGAACGTTGAAATTTTGTATATAGGACTGCTGTAACGTGTAGATGTGCATCTCCCATTTTGGTTGCAATCGGCCCCCACCAAAAGTATATAAATATATGTATATATATATATATATCCACCCTTAGGCTTGCCAGATTTCAGAAATGTTCAACCGGAATGTTCCCTGGGGTCGTGGGTATTCAAGGATGCACACCCTTGGCGGGTTTTTAGAGGTTCGTTTGTTGTCAGTGTTATGAATAAATGGTTACTTAATAGGAACTTAAACCAAGGGTAATAATAAATGACACAAGCATATAAATTTAAACATTTTATTTCTTGCATGCTAATATTTATAAGTTACTTAAGTAAAAAGAAACACTTTAAATGAGGAATAAAAATTTGAACAATATTTACATGTATATTTCATTGGCTAGGACTTTTTTTAGAAAGTGTTTTTTTGTTTTTAATCTTGTTGTAAAAATCTCCACAAACTAATCCGATATTAATTTTACATGTCGTCAAGCCTTTAACCGTTAACCGTCAAGCCTTTTAGATTCCTTCATCAAACTCTTATCATCAGTCCATGCGTTGTTTATCAAAGAAAATACTCTCTCAACTGGTGCTAAGGTCCCAGGTAAGCAGAAGGCGTATTCAACAATCTTGATCAGATTGCGAACTGCTATGTGATTCTCCTTGAAGTGATCAAACAACCTGAGCCATTTTTCTTCACTTGAAGTAATCACATCTCTGGTAGACTTTCTTGCTTCCACTGTTCCCAATTTGACTGCAACTACTCCTTAGTAAGCATAACTTCGTCAAGCAGCTGATCAGTGTTTATTTGCATATCGGGTACATCAAGAAGACTGCTGTTAATCATTTCAGCAGAAGTTTCGACGTTTTCCCAATTAACAGCAGTTGTTTTGGTCAAATTGGCTCAAGAAAACTGTTCAGCATTTCTCCAAGAGGTCCAAGTATGCAATGCATCTTTCCTAAAAGCTATCAAATTCTTCTTTCACACTGTTACGGACTTGCTCGTCTAGATTCCTGTAGATGTTCTTTGCTCCCATAGGGATAAAGTTTGATGCCTTTCTTTCTGTCAAGTTTCTTTTGAGAGCTGTATGAGCTTCAGCAACTTCAAAAGCTGTAATGTTATCTTTTCCCATTACGAGGATGGCCTTGTTAAAGAGTGCAAGCTGTTCGTGGACAAACCACAAGTACAGCTCGCTCGTTAAAACAGTAAACAAGTTGTTTTTTTTTTTTTTTTTTTTTTTTTTTGTTTTGTTTTGTTTTGTTTTTTGTTGATGGGCACATTTCTTCGTCTAAAAAAACGCTTTCAGACCTTCAAAAATCTGTCAAATTCTTTCCAGCGCGGGCATCATTGATAGAAACCGGGTGTTTCCGTGTTGAATGGTACTGTATCTCAGCATATTCACAAAATTCTTGTAGTTTAGTTAAACGAACTGTGTATCTGTGGAAGTTATTTATAAATCTTCAACCAGTAAGGCCTCGATATCGACTGGGAATCTACTGAAGTTTGCACACAGTTGTGCACAATGTGTACTCAACATCCGATTCCACTGATTCTCGTCCTAGACTATTCTTG